ATCTCCAATTTCAATAGGGTTTGTCCTTGGGTCAAACAAATGATATGTCCAATTTCATCTGGATAGGGCAATAAATGCGAACTGTACTTTGTTTACAAAAATACATGGACAGACGGACGGACGGACATGCATAAATCGACTCAGAATGTGATTCTATACAGATCATCAAAAGGAACTATGGGTCTATCTCGTTTCCTTTTGCCTGTTACAAACAAATGCATAAAGACATGATATCCTGACCACCTTGTGGTGTAGGGTATAAACATTAAGTTCGGCCGGGCCAAACTTTTAATACCCTCCACCTTAGGTTAAAGGAAACCTTAGAGCCCATTAGAGCCAATTTTTATTTATTTTTCATCAAAATACCGAATATCGGGAAAAACGACTATATGTGGCTATACAAAAACGTGAACCTATACATGCAATGTTTCGCCAATGGAGCTAGAACCCATTATGACCTACAAATACCAATTTTCAGAGAAATTCGTGAAAAAATGTGTCAAAAATCATCAAAATACCGAATATCAGGAGGTACCGTTATATTTAAGGATGTTAAAAACGGAATGACGAAGTTAATATACCCTCCATTCCAAGGTGGAGGGTTTAAAAAGGGGTACCACTAACTCAAAAATCACATTTAGCTGGATTATGCCATTTGGACATTTTTGTATTATGTTTATGACTACAACATAAAAATAATTGCAGTAAAAATCCTGCGGACTATGTAAGTAGAGCTAAAAATAGAAAATACATGTATCGGCGATTTTATACCCTTCTCCATTCTATGGAGGGTATGTGAACTTTGCCATTCTGTTTGTAACTCCTCTAAGTATACATTTTTGAACCCACAAAGTATATATATTCCTGATCAGCATAATATTTTATGCTGATTTAGCGACGATCCGTTTGTCTATCTGTCTGTCCGCCTGCGGAAATCTCTCTAATTTCCGAACAAAACAAGGTACGTTGATAAGATTTTACTCAGGTGAGTCTTACGAGTATGTCTTCAGGACTTTTGGTATTGAATATGGGTGTAGCCCCCCATATAGTAGGTGTAGCACCCATATAACTTTATCGACAGATTAAAAGTTTTTGGAGTGTTTTAGTCATAATATTATCTCGAATTTGCTGTCAATTGGCAGAATGTATTCCCATTATATAAGAAATATCCATGCATAAAATTGTCAATAAAGGTCTTAGTTTTGGTATAGTCTCCATATAACTGTACCTCTAGATATCGGGTATTTTGATGATTCGGTCACAGTTTTCACCGGAAATGTTTCAAATTTGTAATTTAAAGTTCGTAACGGATACTACCGTCTATGACAGAAAATTTCCTATGCAGGTTGAGGTCTTCGTATTGCCCCAATATAATGTTAACTCCCCATATACGGTATTTTAATGATTTTAGCGACATTATTCACCAGAACTGTTTCAAATTTCGTATTTGAAGTTTTGAATGGGTACTGCCTTCTGTAACTGAAAATAACCTACGAACCTCCAGGTCTTCGTATAGCCCCCATACAACGGTACCTCTCGATTTTCGGTATTTTTAACAACTAACGTTCTCCGTAGATCTGTTCTCTCCTTACAAGAAATAAGGGTACCTCCGCCTTTCGGTATTTTAAGGGTTTCTGCCAGAGTCTACAATCAAATTAGCTGAAATTTGCCATTAGGGGTTCTTGAAACGCCAGTTCTCCCCTTGAATGCTCGAATCAGGTCCATTATTTGGTATAGAATGATATAACAGTACCTCCAGATATTTGGCTTTTTAAGATTTCTGGCACAACTTAAAGCCAAATAAATTGAAACACTATATTATGGGTTCCTGGTAGTCCTCTTCTCTATCTGAAATAAAAAAGTCGAATTGTGTCGACTATTTCGTATGGTCCCCATATTACGATACCATCCGATTTTCTGTATTTTGAAGATTTCTGCCACAATTTCCAACTAAATTAGATGAAATGCGACATTTGGCGTTCTTGGGATGTCTGTTCTCTCCCTACAAAAATATTCGCTACAGATCTGCAAGCCTCCACATAACGATGCCTCCCGATTTCCGATATTTTGAATTTCTAAGCAACTTATCTGCCACAATTTCCAACCAAATTAGATAAAACTTGACAATTGACATTCACGGTAGATCTGTTCTATCCTTGCAAAAAGTATTCGCCACAAGCCTACAAATTAGTATGGCTCCCACATAACGGCATTTTTAAGGTTCCAGACACAATTTCCAATCAAATTAGCTTAAAATTGACATTTGGGGTTCTTGAAAGACCAGATACTCCATATAAAGTTACTTTCGGATTCTTGATCTGACCGAACTTAATCCTCCTTTTATTTTTTATACCCTCCGCCAGAGTATGGAGGCATATTAAGTTTTTTATTCCGTTTGTATCACCTCGAAAACACATTTTAGACTCCACAAAGTATATATATTCTTGATCAGCATAAAATTCTCTGTCAATTTAGCGATGTCCGTCCGCCTGGTAAAGCCCCCATATAAGTGTACCTCCCTATTTTCGGTATTTTGGTGATTTAAGCGACGTTATTCACTGGAAATGTTTCAAATTTGGTATTTGAAGTTCGTAATGGATACTACAGCCTGTAACAGAAAATTGTACGTGCAGGTCCACGCCTTCGTGTAACCCCATATAACGCTACCTCCCGATATTCGGTACTTTGATGATTTTAGCGACACTATTCACCGGAATTGTTCCAAAATTTGGTATTTAAAGTTCGTAAGAGATACTACAGCCTATGACAGAAAATTGTCTGTGCAGGTCTACTAATTGGCATATTCGTTCCAAATGGTCCTGTCGAACTTACTTGTTATACCCTACAACACTATGTGTTGGGGGTATTATAAGTATGATTGTTTTTTATTTTTTTAGGGACATATCAATATTTTGATCTAGTTCTTTAGTTTCTAATTTTCGATGGGTTTACTATCGACTCCAAAAGATTGGGGGTTTGGCCAGAAAACTTGATAAATAAAATAAATATAATCTACATTTAATAGAAAACTCAAAACCCTTAATACAATCTTACTTATTTTCAATTATGCATTTAATTTATTTTATAATTCCCATTTTAGGACCCCAATGGAAATCGAATTAAACAATTCAAAGATATCAAACTAAACACTGGAGTCTATACAAATAAATTCAATCTATCGGAACAAACGGTTTTGGGTCAATGGCTAATCTTAGCTTCCGTCTTGGGAAAATATGAGAAATCCTCTGGTCGCAATTTCAAAGTGGAAAAATATATTTTACCCAAATTTGGGGTTTACATTGATGCCGACTCTGATTTTATACTCGATGACAATGAATTTAGCCTAACTGTATATGGTAAATATACATTTGGTAAATATGTTGAAGGCACAGCAACAGTTGCTATCCTAAATCCGGCCACCAACATGACCATGTCCAAACAAGAAGCCACATTGGACACTTATCGCGCATCGTTTACATTTCAATATTACGATATACCACTGGCCCAGATGTTTTCGTGGATAATCATTTCGGCCACAATTAAAGAAAGACATACGGGCATCACGCAATCTACATTGCAAGAATTAAGTGTTCGAAAGCAGAAATATAATATCTTGGTGCCGGAAAATGAGATTGAATTTCACAATGGCAAGCCGTATAAAATAAAGGCCATGGCACAGCATTGGAATGGCAGTTGTGTGCTTGATACCATCACTCCGATGACAATGATTCATGCCAATAGGACATATGAAACACATTTAGATGCGAATGGTGTGGGCACGTTCCCCTTTGACTATGTTGACAAGGAAGTCAATGTCTTCAACTACGCCGGCAGTTCAACCCATTTACAGAACATTGTCATTGGTCAAAATTATCGATTTGATCAATCGTCCGAAGCAGCTTGTACTCTAAAATGGAAGGAAGGAAGGTAAGTCGAAGAAAATTCCTTAGGATTCTTATATTTTTTATTTGCTATTCCAGATTGAAATTTGGTACCACCATTGACCTGTAGTTAACATCGAAATTGCCCATTCCCTATTTCATTTACACCGTCACAAGTCATGCCGATATTGTTCGCATGAAATATATCCCTCTACCGGCCAATACAAAATCGCATATCATAAAAATTAAACCTGCTGTTGATATGATACCACGTTGCTACGTCTATGTCCACTACATTATAAATGGAGATTTACGCTATTGTGAATTAAGTTTGAAATTCCCCAATGAATTCGAGAACACGGTGAGTAAAACGCTTAGGAAATGCGTGAAGCTGACCCGGGCCGAAGTTTTACAATACAAATCTTTGAAAATAACAAGTAAATAGGGCGTTAAATGGGGGCTATACCAATTAGTGGACGTTAGTCGAACATTTATCGTAAGGAGAGAGAACAGAGCTTCCAAGAACCACAAATGTCATGTTTCGGATAATTTGATTAGAAATTGTGGCAGAAAAATTCAAAATATCGAAAATCGAGAGGTACTGTTATAGGGGGCTATACCAATCAGTGGACCTGACTGGAACATCTTTCTTAAGAAGAGAACATAACTTTTAAGAACCCCAATTATCTAGTTACAGCTAATTTGGTTGAAAATTGTGGCTGAGAACTTCAAAATACTGAAAATTGGAAGGTTCTGTTATATAGGGCCTATACCAACTGGTGGACCTTGATCGAACATTTTTTGCAAAGAGATACCTAATTGTCAAGTTTCAGCTAATTTGGTTGGAAATTGTAGCAGAAAACTTCAAAATACCGAAAATTGGGAGGTACTGTTATATAGGCCCTATACCAAGTAGTGAACCCTTATCGAAAATTTCTCGCAAGGATCTCCCACACCTACCGAGTACCCCAATTGTCAAGTTTAAGCTAATTTGGTTGCAAAATTATTGCAGGAACCTTTAAAATTCCGAAAATCGGGAGGTACCGATGTGGCCTATACCAACTGGTGGACGTTATTCGAATATTTTTCGCTAAGAGAAAACCTTTCAAGAACCCCAATTGCCAATTTTTATCTAATTTTCTTGGAAATTGTGTCAAAAAAAAACTTCATAATACCGAAAATCGGGAGGTACCGTTATATGAGGACTACACAAATTAGTGGAACATAAAGAGAGAGCAGACCTTCCAAGGACTACAAATGTCAAGTTTCAGCTAAATGGGGCAGAAAACTTAAAAATACCGAAAATCCTAATCTTGGACCTGAGATGAAACAAGTGAAAAACATTAAGTTCGGCCAGGCCGAACTTTTAATACCCTCCACTTTAGGGTAAAGGAATTATTATACCCTACACCACATAGGGTATTATGTCTTTGGGCATTTGTTTGTAACATGGAGAAGAAAACGAGGTAGACCCATAGTTCCTTTTGGTGATCAGCATAGAATCACATTTTGAGTCGATTTATGCATGTGCGTCCGTACGTCCGCCTGTCTGTTCGTCTGTCCATGTATTTTTGTAAACAAAATGCAGGTCGCATTTATTATTTGATTGAGATGAAATGTTCTAAATAATATTTGTTTGGCTCAAGGATGAACCCGGTCCAAATTTAGATATAGCTCCCATATATATCTTTATCCGATTTTAGGTTTCTTGTGTACCAAATGGCTAATATTAGTCCAAATGGTGTGAATTTTGCTACATCCGACCGAATTCAGCCTACAAGCATGTGCTTCAAATTTGGGGAAAATCGATTCAGGTATAGTCCCTCACATTAGTAATATGCACTCCACGATACTGATTTTTTGCACCAGATATCAGATACAGCCAAGCAATTCAGATTCATTTTTATCAAGATCGGTCCCGATTTGGATATAGCTCCCATATATATATCTTCATCCGATTTTAGGTTTCTTGTGTACCAAATGGCTAATATCAGTCCAAATCGTGTGAATTTTGGCACTTCAGACCGAATTTAGTATAGAAATAAGTACTTCAAATTTTGTGCACGATACAAGAATAATATTTGGTACCAGATATCAGATGCAGCTAAGAAATAGTTTTTTTTTTTAATTTTATGAAGATCGGCTCAGATTTGGATATAGCCTCTATATATATAATTATTTGATTTCAGGTTTAGCTAACATTAGCCCAAATGGAGTGGACAAAACCAACTTACATGGTTATGCTACTTCGTTCGGCCGCTGCGACGCGGGTTTCGTTCAAATCGCTTCTTTACTTTTCGAAGCATTTCTGGCGATGTTGCTGTTTTCTTTCGTACACTTCCTTGACGTCCGGCTACGCTTCCAGACGTCTATATGCTTATCACGGTAACGAGCGATGGTACGAGACACAAAAGATTTATTCACATTTTAATGCTGAAGTGCTCTAACGATAACCATTTGTGGTTTTCCAGCCAAATGTAAAGAAATCACACTATCACGCTTGAATTTCATCACGAATAATTTTTTTCTGGAAAATTCTCACCAAAATGCTTTTGTACGCTTGTAAACCAACTGTCACTGGAATAATTTTAACAGCTGTCTGACGACCGCAGTCTGAAGTAGGTTGCAGTTTTTCATGTCACCCTGTATGTAGCCCATTTTCAGTACCATTCAGCATGCGTGCAATATACACCTTGGTACCAAACCTCTAAGCAAAAAACAGACAGACCGACATGTAAAAATGTGTAATATGTAATATTAGTGTAAAATGTAATATTAGTAAGTATTCCTTATCAACATAAAATTCTATATCCGTTCGGGGAAATCACTCTAGCTTCCGAACGAAGCTGCAGCCTATGACCGAAAATTGCATATGCAGGTTCACGTTTGGGTATAGCCCTCCATATAACTGTAAATTTCGGTATTTTTATTATTTTGGCGCCATTACTCACCGGGATTGTTTCAAAATTGTGCATTTGAAGTTGCTAATGGTTATTACACCCTATGACAGAAAACAACCTATACCAGTCCACGTTTTCGTATAGCCCCCATATAACCGTATCTTCCTTTATTCGATATTTTGATGATTTTAGCGACATTATTCACTGGAATTGTTTCAAATTTCGTATACGAAGACTGTCTAATTGCCACCTTTTTATGTTTTTGAATTTACCAGTATTTTTCAAAGGGTTTTTTTGAAAACTTGGAATTTTTTCCAAATGGTGGTATTCAAAGTTTATATAATAGCATGGAAACTATAACTGTTGAAGGAGTTTATCACTCGACGACAAGAAATTATACCACACTAAATTGTTGAAATCCATTAAGAATTAAAATTACAATTATTCCCTTCTATTCCAGGTATCGATTTCAGCCCCATCAATAGCTAAACCTGGACAGGAAGTACAGCTTGATCTAAGAGCAAAACCTAATTCATATGTAGGTCTACTGGCAGTAGACCTGAGTGTATATCTTGAAAATCCAGATTTTAATATCGATCGGGAACGTATTTTTAGAGAATTAGTCTACGATTTGACTTTTTCCGGTGTGGATGTCATATATCCTGGACAAATATCTGGACTCATAACACTCACCAATGCCAATTATTTGTATGAAACATCCATTGGTAGGTAATGAAACTCAAAACTCTTCTGGTTATTGTTTTATGTTTTTCTAAATAAATATAGAAAAATATGAGAGGCCAAGATCTAAAATAGAATATGACACTTTCCGCACTGAGAGATTGAAAATACGATCAAAATTTCCCGAAACATGGATATTCATGGACTTCGATAAGTGAGTCAATTTAAATTGCATAAAGGAATTAAAAACTTTTAATTTTTCTTCTATAGTGTCAGCGAAATGACTCAATTGACATTTAATGTTCCAGACACCATAACCACATGGCTGATAACGGCATTTTCTGTAAACGATGAAAGTGGTTTTGGTATGATGTCCGAACCGACAAATCTAACCGTTTTCAAGACATTTTTCATATCCACAAATTTACCATATTCCATCAAGAGTGGAGAAGTTGTCAAAATACCTTTGGTCATATTCAATTATCACAACAAGGACCTGGATACGCGGATAACAATGAATAGTCTTGATGGAGATTATGACTTTATTGATGAGTTGACAATGCAGCCAATGGCCTCAACTACAAAATCTCAAGACATAATTGCCTCAGCAAACGGTGGCAACACTCTGCACTTCTTCATTAAACCCAAAAAGCTGGGAGTTATTCGAATAAACATCAAAGCCACCAATTATTTATACAACGATGCCATACTTCAGCAACTTTTAGTTGAACCCACGGGCACCATGGAAAACCACAACAAGGATTTATTTATAAATCTCAAAAAAAGTGAGCAGCTATTTCGATCGTCCATTGATATCGATGTGCCTGAGAATCATGTTGCCGATACCGAATTTCTACAACTTTCTGTGAGCAGTGATATTCTCCACACCACACTCGATAATCTTGACAGTTTGGTACAATTACCCACCGGCTGCGCTGAACAAAATATGGTTAATTTTGCTCCCAATGTTTTGGTATTAGATCATCTGCGTGCCACACGAAAATCTTCAGAAAACTCCGATCTGGTGAAAAGAGCCACTGGACACCTTGAAGTTGGTTATCAGCAGGAGTTAAGTTATCGCCACTACAACGGTGCATACAGTGTCTTTGGGCCGAACGCCCAAACAGAGGAAAGCACTTGGCTGACGGCATATATTACTCGTTTCTTTATTAAGGCACAACGTTATGCCGGCGTAGAAAATAGGATAATTCAAAGTGGTTTGCATTTTCTGGAATCCAAACAATTGCCATCGGGTGAATTTCAATATACCGGCTATTTATTTCATTCAGCCCATCAGGATCGTTACGGCTTTACGGCTTTTGTTTTGATGACATTCTTGGAGAGTTCGGTAAGTATTCGAACTTTACGGTTATGAAAGTTCTAAAATAGTACCATTTGTTATTATGTGAACGGATAGATATTAAACCTTAAAATTTGATATGAGAAGCCAGGTTTGGAAAGTACATGTGAGATATGGAGGTGGCTTTTTCATTGTGAACTAAGTGTGCGAATTGTACTTAATGGTACTAAATTTGGAACAGTTTGGTTTACAGTGAACGGGTGGAGCTACGATTTTGAAATTTTGTATTGAGGTCAATGTTTCGGAAATATTTACTACAAGTGCACGAAGAGTACTACATAGTACTGTATTTGGTACAATTTGTTATTGGGTGAAGATACAGTGCTTGAAATCAGAAGTTTGGTCATGTATAGCCTGGACAAATTGTTTCGGTTTCGGAAATGTGTACTATATTTGAACGAATAGTATAAAGTGGTACTAAATTTGGTATTCGGTGAAAGGATAGAGCGGAAATCCCGAAATTTAATATTGAGGTCTCTGTTGGTATCTGGAATTGATATATGGCGGTGGTTGTGGAAATCTGTATTGTAATTGTAAGTACTAAATTTGGTATTGGGTGAAGGAATGGGGCAGGAATCTTGAAACTTGAAAAATAGTACTATATTTGTTACAATTTGGTATTGGATGAACAGATAGTGTATGAAATCTGCAATTTCAATTCTGTTTGGATAAGGCTGATAAACTTTTCAAAAAACATAAATTGGGTGAGACCGTTGTATGGAGGTCATACCAAAACGGGAACCTCCATAGACAATCTAATTCTTCAAGGATTGTCATATATCAAATCTTCTAAAATATCAAGTTTGAAAAAAGTTCTTAGGTAAATGTGACTAGGATTTTTAAATACCGAATATCGGTGGGAAACGTGATATGGGGGCTATACCAAAATGTGAAACCTATATATACTATGTTTCCCCACCGGAGCTAGAACCCATTATGAACTACAAATTCCAATTTTTGGACAAATCCTTGGAGACATGTGGCTAAAATCATCATTCCGACGTCAAGGAAGTGGACGGAAGAAAACAGCAACATCAGCAGAAATGATTCGAAAAGTAGAGAAGCGACTTGATCGAAACGCGCGTCGCAGTGCCCGAAAAATTGCTCGTGAGCTGAACATATCGCAATATTCCATTCGGCAAATATTAAAAAATGAGCTCGGGGTAAAGCCATTGAAATTGCAAAAAGTGCAAGAACTTACACCGCAAATGAAAGAAAATAGATTCAAAAGAGCTAAAGATTTGCTTCGCTTGGCCGAAAGTGGTGAACTGCCGAATTTGGTTTTCTCTGATGAGAAAACATTTGTGGTCCAGTAGTTTGTAAACAAACAAAATGATCGTGTTTACTTGCCGAAGAGGTCAGCTGAAAATGTGCACCTTCTGTTGGCCACCAGAACTCAAGCGCCGGCCATGGTGATGGTGTGGGCCGCCATAACAGCCGATGGTCGCTCTCCACTCGTATTAATCGACCGTGGCATCAGAATAAATGCCGAATATTGTCGCGAAAATATTATGGAGGGTGTATTAAAGCCTTGGGCTCGCAAACATTTTGGCGGCAGACATTGGACTTTCCAACAGGACTCAGCACCATGGCTCTCACCACGCCCCACCCAAGAATGGTTACAAAATGGGGTTCTCCGCTTCATTTCCAGCCCACAATGGCCACCAACATCTCCGAATACCAATCCGTTGGACTATTGTGTCTGGAGTATTTTGGAAAGCAAAAAAAAAAAAAAAAAAACAATGCCAAAGAGTCGATCACCTTAGGCAAGTCCTTCGCCGGGAATGGGCCAAAATACCGCAGAGCAACATTCGGGTAGCGTGTGACGGTTTCATTGGCCGTTTGAAGGCCATAATTCGTGCCAAAGGTGACCAATTCGAACAAATCTAAACTTATTCTAAAATTTTACGCATTTTTTGCTTTAATTCAATAAAATTTAAAAAAAAGTGTAAAAGGAATGGCGTTTGACTATATTGCAGTTTTTTATCTCACCTTGTATTCATAAAATTTTTTGCTACCGGATCTAGAATCCATTGTGACCTAAAATCCGTGCCAAAATGTGACTAAAATAAAAATACCGCACATCGAGAAATACAGTTATATGGGGCCTATACAAAAACGTGGTCCAATATATCTCATTTTCAATACCAACCTAGGATGGTTGGTTCTGCCAAATTTTGAAGCTCTACGTCAAATAATGTGGGCTGTATCGGGGTCTACAATGAATGTTTAGGGATGTTACAAACGGAATGACAAAGTTAATGTGCCCCCCCTTTTCAAGGTGGTGTTTATAATAACAACAAATTTCCTGCGACATATCCATGATAAAATAAGTAATTGGTAATCTTCAAAATTAAGTTTCGTGTAAGTTTCTCTGCGTATCCGACAATGAATTGTTCCCATACTAATTGGCATATATCCTATTATTATTACGTGAGAATATCTTAGAATATAAGTGTGAAAAATAAGCAAAAAACTATAGTATCCGTAGTTATCGATATATAGATAGAGTAATATTAAACAAGTAAGCAAAGGCTATAGACGTGCGAGCCGACCATGTGATACCCTACAACACTACAATATGTTAAAAGCCCCTTATGTCCAAATCCATTTTGTCATAGAGTACAGCCCTGATATTACCCTTAGCATTTCGACCAGGTACATTTGCCCAATATTTATGCTGTTAGTTGTTGTGGTCCATTTTACAGCTAAATATAGTATTATGGTCATCCAAAATGCTAGACGTCTACGCTGTCCCTAACTTTCTTCTCAGGCATGTCGATTGGCCTCAATTGCATGGTCAGGAATTTTTATACCCTACACCACATTGTGGTAAGGGTATTATGTCTTTGTGCATTTGTTTGTAACATGGAGAAGGAAACGAGATAGACCCATAGTTACTTTTGAGAACCTTCATAGAATCACTTTCTGAGTCGATTTATGCATGTCAGTCCGTCTGTCCGTCCGTCCGTCTGTCCATGTATTCTTGTGAACAAAATGCAGGTCGCATTTATTATCCGATTGAGATGACATTTTCCAAACAATATTTTTTTTGCCCAAGGACGAACCCTATTGAAATTGGTGAGAATCGGATCAAATTTAGATATAGCTCCCATATATATCTTCATCCGATTTCGGGTTAAATGTGCACCAAATGTCCACTATCAGTCCAAATTACCTGAATTTTGGCACACCCAACCGAGTTCGGCCTAGAAGCAAGTATATCAAATTTGGAGAAAATCGGTTCAGATATAGCTATAGCTCCCATATATATCTTTCATCCGATTTGATCTTTAAGTCCCTCACATTCCTACTATTCACGCCACAACCGTGATATTTGGTACCAGGTATTAGATGGAGCACAGAAATAGCTGTTTCAATTTTTATCGAAATCGGTTCAGATTTGGATATAGCTTCCATATATATCTTCATCCGATTTCGGGTTAATTGGCCACCAAATGGCCAATATCAGCCCAAATGGCCCGAATTTTGGCACATGTGACCGAGATTAGCCTTAAAGCAAATACAACAAATTTGAAGAAAATCGGTTCAGAAACAGCTATAGCTCCCATATATATGTTTTATGCGATTTGGTGTTTAAGCTTCTCACATTCGTAATATGCACTCCACAAGAATGATATTTGGTACCAGATAAAAGATACAGCCCAGAAATAGCTGTTTGTAATTTTATCGAAATCGGTTCAGATTTGGATATAGCTCCCATATATATCTTCATCCGATTTCGGGTTAATTGTGCACCAAATGGCCGATATAAGTCCAAATGGACTGAATTTTAGTACATCGGACCAAATTCAGCCTAGAAGCAAGTATATCAAATTTAGTGAAAATCGGTTCAGATATAGATATAGCAACCATATATATGTTTCATCCGATTTAGTGTTTTAGTCCCTTACATTCGTAATATTCACTCCACAACAGTGATATTTGGTACCAGGTATTAGATGGAGCACAGGAATAGCTGTTTTAAATTTTACCGAAATCGGTTCAGATTTGGATATAGCTCTCATATATATCTTCATCCGATTTCGGGTGATTGACCACCAAATGGCCGTAATAGCATCAATTTTGGCAAATCCGACCGAAACCAGCTTAGAAGCAAGTACACCAATTTTAAGACCGAATTCAGTCTAGAAGCTAATACGTCAAATTTGGAGAAACCCGGTTCAGAGATAGCTATAGTTCGTAAAATGCACGATAGAATTAGATAGATTTGATTTTGTACCAAATATCTCATAGAGCTCTGAAATGCCCTGTATAAACCTTTTTACGAGAGCTCTACTAAATATGCATAGTGGTGTAGGGTATCATATAGTCGGCCCCGCCCGACTTTTGAGCTTTCCTTACTGGTTTTCTTCTGTTTTTGGTTCATTTGCAATTTTTTCACCCAAAAGTAGTGGCCCAATCCTTAACACAAGATTTTGTGTCCTTTGGTTTCTATATGTGACCCTTATGACGGCTGCAAAATCAGGAACATTTTTAGTTTTCCATTTCAACTCCTACATATATTAAGAACATCTTTGAAAACAATAAGCCTAGCCCTTCTGAGCCTAACCCTACCCTTGTGAAAATTTTTGTTAGGATCGGACGTTAATTGCAATCAGTATATAGTAACCCCAACCTGTGTTGTAAGGTGAAAAAATACACTTCAATATTATAAGTCAAATTGAAAAAATCGCATGCGATAAAAAATATATTAAAAATTTAACAAAATACTGCAAAATCTATATTAATATCGTTATTTCATACTTTTATGCCAAGAAGGCATTCTGAATTGACAAAATTTTCAAAATCGGTCCAGCCATTCTGGAGATGTGATATTCGCGGTTTAATGGAATATTTGACTTTTATTCAACACAAATGCTATGAACTATATCACCCACCAAATATTACCCGATGACCATCAAAATTGGAAGGCTTCGGCCCAGCCCTAAGCTCTAGCCCCATGCTAATTGCAACCTGTAGAACAACTGCAAAATCAGGAAAATTTTCAGTTTTTGGTCCATTTCAACCCGTAAAAATTGTGCCATCATCTCCAAAAGCAATAGGCTTCTATTCAGGCCCTAACCTCACCTTCATTCGTGAAGATCGGGCCGTAATTGCGACCTGTAGAGTAATTACAAATTAACATGGACAGACGGACGGACGGACATACATAGCTAGATCGACTCAGCTCAGCGAGATAGGAAGATCCATATATACTTTCCTAAGTGTGAAATCAATATTTCGAGGTGTTACATAATTTTTGGCGCAATCAAACTTATAGTACCCCCCAACATATAGTGTTGCAGTGTATAAAAACTCAAATCATGTAAATCATCAGCTCTTGGCCACTGTTTTCAATTCAGTTCAAACTTGGCACATTGTTATGTTATTTATTAAGTCCCCTGCCCATTCTGGTACATCTTAGACAAACTAAAAATTCCCGAAGAATCCAAATTTCCAAAAAAATGTCATAGAAATTGAAAGGAGTATCTGATTGATTCAAAATTCCCTTGCCGTGATATTTACATCAGGCTTTTGTCAGCTATGTATACCAACAATATCGGCACCCTCCTTCTTTTCAAATTAATATTTTTCTCTCTCCCTACAGAAATCTAGCCGAAACTATAAAGCTGTCATACAAAAAGGAGTCAATTATTTGGTGGACAATATCAACAACATTAATGATACCTATGCCCTATCTTTGGTTTCGGTAGCATTACAAATGTCCAAAAGTGAGCAAGCCAATCAGGTACTGGCAAAACTCCAACAAAAATCGCACAGCAAAAAAGGTTTAAAATGGTGGCAGTCTTCGAATGCGGAACATTCAAATGATGTAGAAATAACGGCATATGCTCTAATGGCTCTATTGGGGACAAATTCATTGGATAATATAAATATTGTCAAATGGATTTTGGAACAGCGTAATAAGGCTGGAGGTTTCAAAACAACCCATGATACAGTGGTTGCTTTGCAGGCCCTCATTCGATTCAATCAAAAATACCCCAGCAATAATGACACGCTGCTCAAATTCAATTATGCTGCATTGGACGCCCAAGGGCTGGAGGTTGGCAACGGTTTTCTTGGTATCGATCCGAGCAATAGTAAAATATGGCAAAAGATTGAGGTAAGAATAACCGCTATTAAAAGAAACATATTTTAATTGTAACAATCCATGAATTTACAGCTTCCAAAAACCACTCGTTTGCTTCAGTTAAAAATAGAGGGCGAGGGAAATGCTCTGGTCCAGCTGGCCTATCATTATTATGTTCCCTTGGAAACGGATGTGGAGAGTATTACATTGGATGATGACTCAATTACTGCCACAACATTTGCCAAGTCCAGCAGCGTAATTCATCGAAGAGAAACACCAAAACAGAAATCATTTGCCATTTCACCCATGGCAAAGCTAACTTCTAACGCTGTAATGGAGTTAGAAGTCTGTTTCAAATTTAAGCCGTCGAAAGAACTTAAACATCGTCAGACCAATATGGTGATTATGGAAATAAATATGCCCTCCGGATTTGTTGTGTCACCTGAATCCATGCATGATTTACAAGAAGAAGAATTTGTGGCCCGTGTTGAAGTCAAGGATTCCAATACCAAATGTTTGGCATATTTCAAACATCTGCAGGCCGATGATGATGAAAAATGTCTTAGTATTCAGGCGGATAATATGCATGAGGTTTTGCAGCTGGAGCCGGCATCGATAATAATGTATGATTATTATATACCGGAAAATCGAGATACAATAGCATATCAAATGTAGACATAAAGCATTAATAATTTCTCAATAATTATTGTAAAAAAAATAAACCTCAAGCGAGTCAACAAAGGGTTCTTTTTGGTCTAATTTTAAAAATGTGGTTAAAAATCACTTTAAACGAGATCATAGCAAGTCAAAATATTCTACAAAATTATTGGCATTAAAATTCTAATATAGATCTTTTGATGACGTGATGACGTCATCAGGAGTTCATATATGTTAGAAACAGATTTTAGGGTTAAATACAAGTACATAAAGTTTGCGCAAAAATCTCCTATAAATAATAACTTTAGAAGGATATTTTAACTAAAGTTACCAATGAAAATATATTTATATTTACATTGTATATAAGAACTAGCTGGCCCGGCCCGCGTTGCCGGCCCGTAGTTTTTGTCTATTATGCATATTTGTCAAAGCATAATTATTCAAAGATATTAATCTTATAAATGTTCACGTACTGGTCGATTAGTTTTTAATTTTTAGTCAAATGAGCAGTAATTTGGAATTTACTGTACTTTGTACAACTCATAATTGAGGGCTAATTGATTTAAAAATAGCCAAAGTTAATTCCTTTTGTAATTTGTAATTTTGTAATATTTGTAATTTGTTCATGTTTTCACAATTTATTTCATATAGATGTATATCCCAAATCTACGTTCCCAACCAATATTCTCTTGGGGGTTACAAATTCAATAGAATACAAATTTTTCTTTTCTGACAACACATTAGATGTGAAAGTGGACTTGGGGATACTCCAGTGTGGGGACTTTTCATGAATAAATTTCTATGTGGCAATTATCTGTACGATGGTTCCCTACCCCAGGGTAGCATAAATACAATTTTTTAGTGGTCCAGACCAATATGGACCCTACTCCGAAAATTTTATGCGAAGAGGTTCTCTACCCCCTTAGAAGCAAAGATGCCAAATAAGGGCCAAAATAGAAGAAAGTGGCGAAGACTCCAAAAATGGCTTAAATCATACGATGGTTATTTATGATCGATATCATGACCTGCAAAAGCGATTTAAGGTATCTTAAATGTTCAGAAGGATAGAAATCCTTTTCTTACTAAAAGTCCCATTCGCTCTACTATTTTGCACCCTTTATACTTGGTATTTTACTGATTGTACTCCCAAAAATTTTTGCATTTTGAGCTCTCATTGGACGGATTATTGTCACATGAAAGTAGTAGGGCCACGCTTTGAAATAAGCCCCATTAGTCTTTTTCGGTCATTTTTGTTTGTTTAAATGTCTGCGCATCTTCCAGCTGAAGCACGATGTAGGCCCTGGAGTTGAAAAGTAGATGTCAGTTACCATCGTATTTCGCACTTATTTAATTTTTTTGGTGAAAAATTGTATATAGTGAAAAATTATTCTTTACTTTGTTCACAAAAAATCCACTGAATTCAATATGATATTACGAATTGAAAAAAATTGACAAAAGAAGAATAACAAATTGAAAAAATCTTCAAAATGTTCGCTGATTTTTTACAGCAACTGTTTAAAGATCCTTACAAAGTTTGTCAATAGAATGTACTTTTATTTTAAAATTCAATTCCATTGGAAACTTTTTTCGATATTTTCCCGTTTTGTGAATTGTTGCAATGAGATCTCTTTTTTCGTGATTTTTTTAACGATTTTGAAGAAGTAATTATCTTTTAACTTTGGTGTGACCGCATTAAATTATTTCGGTATCATCTATTTCGTTTCGCTACCACATAATTCGGTACTACACTTCCATGTTACCCGCCATCAATTTCAGTTATCAAGAAATCAAGTCAATTAAATAAATTGGTATTAATATTCGAATTCAAAAATAAAATATAAAAAAACACTACAAATGTACATTAGAAAAAAGTAAGTCAAAATGGAAAAAAATCATGCGAAATAAAACATTACTATTGTACATTTTAAAAGTCAAAATGAAAATGTTAACATATCACATTTTTACTCGATTTTTTTTTTTTTTTTTGTTTTTGATATTATCATTTTCGGATAAGAGACAATTCCGAATTTGTATGAATCATTAAAATCAGTTCAGCGGTTCTTAAGTTATAAGCGTAGTAACTAACACAACTTTCATTTATATATATAGATGTATAGATAGATTAAAAAGTATGCGTGGTCAGTTCCTCAGCCCCCAAACAAATACTTAGGGTTGGAGGGAAGGTCAACAGTATCTCGTGTAATAATTTTTAAACCAATATCTTGTTTATTTAGGAAATATAAGGATTCTAGATAAATCGAAATAATGGGCGCAAAAGGAGGCGTGGTCAATATTTTTTTCTTTAAAAACCTAACTCGGTGTATGACAAACGTTTGTACAAAAAATTATGCAAATCGGTCCAGCCGTTTTCAACTGATTCCGTTACCAACAAACAACAATTGATTTTTATATATATAGAAGAAGATAATATCTGCATCAATGTTCCAAAAAAAAAAAAAAAAAACCGAAAAAAAATTTTTTTTTTTTTTGATAAATTTTTCCCCGGACTTTTTCATTTTAACGCTGAAATATTTATAACATTTCGTTTTTTGCGGTAGGTGTCAACAGTAGAAATGTTCCACACAAAATTTCATTAGTATTTTTTGAATAAAGCATAGATCTAGGTTCAATGGTTTTTATGCAAATTACATCCCAATATTTTGTACTAAAAGTGAACATGTTTCCAATTTAAATTCGAAATCTCCCTTTACACTTAATTTTATTGGAAATTGTTAAAGGAAGAATTATTCCAAATCAAATTTCGTTTTTAGTCTCTGAAAAAAAGAAATTTGTTTAAATAATATAGATTTTTCTTTAAAAACATCTGGTTTATTAAACTAACCATTTTTTTCAAATCTCTGTAAAAATTACTGCTTGGTTTTTCCACCTGTATCTGAAAGCTGGGACCAAATATCTTTGCTGTGGAGAGCATTTTACGGGTGTGAGTACTTAAATACAAACTCGGATGCATATTAACAAATTTTCAGCAACTTTCAAGTATTTACTTCTGTATTCGGTCGTATATGCAAAAATCCACTTAATTTGGGCTGATATTAACCATTTGGCGCACAATAAATATCAAATCAGATAAAGATATATATGGAAGCTATATCCAAAGCTGAACCGATGATTTGGCAGAGGTATTTCTGAAGTATATATGGTTTCGAATATAATTTTTGGGGGAAGGGGACTTAATGCCAAATCGGATGAAACATATACAGGTTGAGGTAAAAAAAAAAAAAACTTAAACAAAGTCAAACGCCATAATTTTTAGATTATTTTTTTTATTTTATTGAAAGCCAAAACTGTCGGAAATAGCATCAAATTTTAGAATAAGTTTAGAATTGGTCACATTTGGAACGAATTATGGCCTTCAAACGGCCAATGAAACCGTCAGACGCTGCTCGAATATTTTGGGCTACACTACTCCAGAACGTGGAATATTGGAGACTATTTATTTGACCAATAATCGGTCGGTGACTTTGTCCAAGGCCCACAGGTGAAACGCAGACGACATGCCACGCAAATGGGTATAAGTCGATTTGAAGATGTTTTCGTACATAGTCCAGATGGATCTTTAATCACAAACAAAAAAGGATGATTTTTCAATAAAAATAATTATGAGTGATGAGGCCCTTTTAAATCTTAGCGGGTACGTAAATAAGCAAAATTTAAGCTTCTGGGGCACTCACTCACTTTATGGTGTGCTGCGTTCTCTGGAGGATTCATCGGACCTTTCTTCTTCGAAGACGTCGGGGACCGAAAGGTTACTGTGAATGGTGTGCGCTACAACGCAATGATCAACGACTTCTTTTTGCTTCAACTTGATGAATTCGGATTGGAAAACATGAGGTTCCAACAGGACGGTGCAATGGCATACACTGCACGTGCCACAATCGATATGCTGAAGGATACATTTCTCGTTTTGGCGTTTTGCACTGGCCTCGACTTGATTTTAATACCAGTCAGGAAAAGTCAAAAGTTGGGCGGGGCCGACAATATGATACCATACACCAATTGTCATATTTAGTAGAGATTGATGTACTTGTACTTGCTACTAGACTGAATTCGATCGGATGTACCAAAATTGAGAACTTTTGGACAGATATTGGCCATTTGGTGCACAATTAACCTGAAATCGATTGAAGATATATATGGGACCTATATCCAAATCTGAACCGATCTTGATAAAATTTGATGCACTTATTTGGTACCAAAGATCATTGCTGAGGAATGCATATTACGCTTGTGAGGGACTTTAAGCCCCAAATCGGATAAAACATCTGTATGGGTGCAATAGCCATATCTGAACCGATTTACACAAAATTGGAATTTACTGTTATTAGGATGAATTCAGTCGTAATTGCCAAAATTCCGTCCATTTGTGCTGATATTAGCCATTTTGTGCATAATTAATCCGAAATCGGTTGAAGATGTATGGGAGCTATATCTAAATCTGATTCGATTATCACCAATGTCAATAGGGTTCGTCCTTTGGCCAGACAAATATTGTTTGGAAAATTTCAGCTCAATCGGATAATATATGCGACCTGCATTTTGTTCACAAAATACATGGGCAGACGGGCAGACATGCATTAATCGGCTCAGAAAGTGATTCTATAAATATCCTCAAAAGTAACTATGGGTCTAGCTCGCTTCCTTCTCCCTGTAGGGTATACAAATGACCAAATGTAGTGAAAATCGATTAAGGTATAACTTTCATATGTTGTTTGCATCCGATTTTAAATAAAAACCACTCTAAAGCCATAATCCGCTTTCAATGGCGATCATAATTGTTATGCTTTACTTCAGATTTTTTGGTTAAGGGAAGAACTGCAAAGGGATGCATAGTCGCGTAGGGTATCAATTAGTCAGCCTTGTCCGGCTTTTGTTATTTATCGCTGGAAATGAGAGCGATTTAAATACTTTTTTCCACGAAACCAAAATACACATAGGTACGTATTGCTGGATCGTCTCAGAATTGTACCCTTATCACCAATATATACATTTTATGGTGTCGAAAATGATTGTGGCGATTAAGCACAAACAGAAAACCCAAATGGATTTTCCCTCTATTCAACAGT